GCTACTGGGTCTTTTGGTTTACTTAAGATGTTTTGGAGGGCTTTAGTTGATTTGTGTGCTATGGTAATGTTGTTTGGTTGTAATGGTCTGTTGGTTGTTTCTGAGATGTCTTTGATGTATGTTAGTATTATCCTTTTCATAGCTTGTGTTGATTGTGCTGTAATGGGTTGAGTGGCACTTCTTAATAAAGTTGCATAGGTATCCATTTTGTTGGATGATGTTGTATGGGCAGTCTGTTTCCTTTGCTGGTGTTCTGGGATGCTGTAGTGTGTTTGTATTTATCTGAATAATGTTCTTATACAGCTCCTCTTGTGGGAGGTTGGGTTGTTACTTTGGTATGGCAATTAGTGTGAGTTGTTTTTCAATAGACTTGCATTTCTAACTTGGCATCAGGGAAGAAATGGCAGACTGAAGATGAGCCCACAAAAAGTGAAGCTGACAACCATAGTAGAATGAAGAGCTGGTGAGTAGACCAGCTCTTTGTAATTCCTCTCCAGACAAGGAGAGGACTTAAGATCACCCACAAGTGCTCCAGATAGTTGCTCCTCATGAAGAGACTGCAAAACAGCAGTCTCCAGCGGGTTTAGAGCTCTGGGAGATGAAGGAATAGCTATCTTGCTCAAACTGCGGTTGGTACCTTTAAAAAGACACTGGGTTTGCATACTTCCTTTTCTAATCACTTTTGCAAATTGCTTGTTAATTGATTTTCAGCTATTAGGAACCTTTGGATTGACAGGTTTTATAGCAGTGGCTGAGTTTCCTTCAATCCTTAGTGAAAGAAGTTATAAAGACAAGTTAAGGACTTTTTTTTTCTTTGAATAAACAGCAAAAGGGTGATTAAAACTTTGAAAGAAAGTTACAAATGGACTTTGAAAAAAGATTTTGGAAGTAATTATAAAGAATCCTGTGGGGAAAATGCTTTAATTTTGAATTCTTTTTTAAAAAAATACTAAGATAAGACTTTAAAAATTGGACACTAGAGGGAACTAGAAGGAACTAAAGATTACAATTAATGGAAAAGAGCACAAGTTTGACTTACAAATATAGAATGGAACTACATTTATTCTCTTCTGTGGGAATAATAAAGCATGTTACAGAAGAAGTGATCCTCTTGCTTGCATTATTCAATTTTTTTTCCCTTCAAAGTTGCAGTTTGCTTCCAAGCAGCAGAGAAAATATTTGGCCTGATATTTTAAAAGCATATTGTGTATATTTATTGTAAACCCACACCATTTATATATCAAGTCCTTGAATAGTAGATGGATATGGAAAGCCCTCCAAAAATGTTTGTAAACCTGTTTTCCATTTGCAGTTAATGTGTCCTTGCCAAAGAGTTTGTGAAAAATAGAGGGAAATAAGTCAGACTCCAAATGGACGTGTTAGTGATTTGATAGTACAAAATCATTGCAATTGACAAAATTCCATTATCCTGATGTATCTATCAGTGCATTTGTCTACTGTGAAAAGCTACTAGACAAGTGCAGAAAAATAATTCAGAGAAAATTTGATTGTGATCATGTGAAGTCATCTTCGATTCAAAACAGCAATTTATTGTTGCAGCTCAGTTTCTAATATAATTGGATAGGGCTAGATTATCAACTCTGGAATGATATCCTCCTGGAGATTCATACGGCTTCCACCCTTCTGACTTTCCACAAACTACTCAAGACTGGGTGTTCTCCCAGGGCCTGGGCTAGGATGGCGGTTGAGCCCCTTTGGTTGGATTTTTGTTGTTTAGTTTTAGTGGTTTTGGTCTCCGGTCAATTGCTTTATTTTTTCTTGATATATTTTGTTTTCTTTTAATTTTTGACTGTAATCTGCCCAGAGTCACTATGGAGATGGGTGGCATTGAAATTTGAAACAATAAATAATAATAAGAAACTGATCATTGACTGATGACCAAAGCTCATGAAGAGCATAGACGGGTTGACTTCCAAAAGTCAAGAAGTTTGGGTTTTGAAGGAAAGCTGTGGTTTCTGAAGCAGAGCAACAGGCAGAAATGTGATGGAGTATTTGGCCAGATGGAACAGATATTCCACAGAATCACTAGAGAGATAATAGAAATTTATAAACATCCAAACAATTTAAAGGGAAGTTATCTTCATGGTGGTTGACTATCATTTGTTTCCACTCCATTGAATACAGGCAATATATAAGGACATGACAACCATTGCTAAGTTCAGTTTCAAATCTGCTCAAAGAAGCTAGCAATATGGCTGGTGAAACATCAATATATATTCATTGCCTTACATGGCATTCCTTGGAAATAATTTACCATGGAAGGTTCCTTCAGATCTTATTTTCAATTACTTGTCTGGTGAGCCATGTCTGATATTATACACTGGGGTGGTCGCAAATTTATTCAGTCGCAGCAGAAGTTGTTATAAAATATCATAGTGTATTAGGTGTCAGAATGCTCTCTGTGTATTTTCTCTGAGTTTCAGGATTCATGCATTATTATTCAGTTGATATCAAAGAGAGCCATTTTCTTCCACTGCTACAAAACATTGCCACATATATTATTTTCCATTATAATAAATAATAGCTTCTATACATTATTTATATTTTAACTAACTTGTCTAAATCTGTCTCCTTTTGTCAGGTCAGCCATTCAAAAATTGGGAGCAGAAATTTTTGAAAAAGTGTATGAGTTCCTCCAACAAGCAAGACAGAGGAATGCAAGTGAAGATGAAGTCAAAGAATACCTTGAAAAATTGGTGTCTCGGGCAAGTGACTGCTTTGAGGTAGATCAGCTCCTCTATTTTGAAGACCAGATGCAAGCCTCAGAAGATATTTCAGTGAGATAGTGTATCTCAGAATGAATTTTCTTGCATTATCTGAAACCAGTAGATTCAATACTGTTCCGTTAGAAGCGAATACGTTGTATGATTAATGAATAACATGGAGATACTGTTTGGAAAAATTGAGGTTATAGAATTACCTTCTTATATAAAATCGAAGGCATCTTTAGGTCCAAATGAACTTGGTGAGAACTTACTAATTTCTACAGAAGCAGTACTGACATTTAGTTCTCAGTAATTCTTTTCTTGACAATTGCTACCTTATTTTTGATCTTACTATGCATGGTGGATTCCTCCAGAAGAAGAACCTGCATTCAGTAATCTGAATTTCATCTGTGTTTCAACAAGGGAGCAGCACAGGAAGTGGAAGGATGGAGGGAAATTAAAACAATTTGTAGTTCTTCTCATCATGTAAAGAGTGAGTGAGCTGTTCAATTTATTTAAAATTAATTAGATTGCAAATATTATATACCTAGTAAACATTTTCACTGTGGAAACAGGGCTTTGAGAGTGAGGATAATTTTTTCTCCATTCCCACAAGCCTGCCAGTCTGCCTGCTTTTCTGCTGCTTACAGTGCAAATAAATAAGCTTTCTTCCTTGTCGTGATGCCTTCACAAAACAAATCACACTTGGCTATGTGAAGAAGTCACAAAGTGTTCTCCAAGTCAAGGTCAACTCCTGGTGATTTCACAGACGTATCCTTGCAGTTTTCTTGGCAACAATGTGGAAATGATTGGCTATTGCCCTCTTCCAGGATGATTTTGCCTTCTTGGTCTAGCCTACAGCCTGATATGCCCTGATAGTCTCCCATCCAATTACTGACTAGGTCCAACCCTGCTTAGGTTCCAAGCCCAGATAAGGTCAACCAGGTTCGGCAACCTGCTGAGGCATGTGGGAAAAATGAAGCTAATTTAGAGTAAGGACAGGGCTTCCTGAATAGGTATTTCCTACATTCTGAACCAGTTTTGTTCCACTTTAGGAATTCTATATAGCCAAACTGATTCCCTGCTTAAAATTAGCACTGTTACTAAGCAGGTGGACTATTCTTCAGAGAAAAAAAACATGCTAATGTTACAGCCAATCAGGACTGTCAAGAGACTCAAAATGGAGCATTTCTGTGCTGTCTAATGCCATCTGCTGCCACTGCCTACACCATGAGGGAAATTGGGATGATAATTAGAAGAGAGAGAAAAGGTTGTCCAAATATGGTCAGGAGTGGAATGGTTGCTCTCTGTGGATAGTTCTGCCAAAAAAAAAAAGGTTGTAGCTCAGCTCTTGCAAAATGGGTTGTTTTTAAACAAGTACAGCATGAATATTTCTTTTTTCACCATTATTACATAGCAATGCTCAGCCTAGAGATCTTTGTATCAGCAATTTGTTTCATTTTGTAAATTACATTTTTGCATTAGGATTAAAATTAATATAAACATTTTAAATGTTATATTGGTCCCTTTGTGCATATTATGATAGATTTCTTGTACCTTCATTTTAGAATTGGCCTTAAAAGCATTGCTCTCTAAGGTTCCCTTATATGCTTTGAGATCATGTGATACAGATTCATTTGCTGAAGAGGCTAATAGTGCGTTGGAGGCTCCAAGGATCATTATGTCAGTGATAGATTCATCAGTTCCTGGAGCTTTGGCAATATAAAGGAAAAAAGAACAATTTTGAGTGAATAATACACCTTGAAGCAGTCAAACTTTCTAAAATGTATTGCTAATAACCTTTATAGTCTGAAAATCATGTTCAAACCACCCCCGTGTCTTCTGGGAATAAACTCAGGAATGCAACATTTATTTACGTATTGGATGAAATGATACCCCCCACAGTGTGTGTGTGTGTGTGTGTGTGTGTGTGTGTGTGTGTTGGCTATCCAACACAGACTAAGAGCTGAGAATTTATTCCCTCTAATTCACCATAATCTGCTACTATGATTTAGAGCCATATTTAGACATGCAAACACTCTTCCAGCACACATGGCTGTGCCATTCATTTCAGAAGCAAGCTATCTCTGTGGGAAGTAGACAACAAGGCCGTTCACTAGGCAAAATGGATGGTGGCTGCTGTGAGGGGCTCCCTCCTGCCCCAAATTTGGGTGGCAGTGGGGATGATGCCCCAGCCAGAAACATGTCTCTGAATGCAATTGTTGAATAGATGCTCACCTCATCGTTGGTATAGGGTGCTGACATCAGAAGGCATAACCATCTGTACAACAATTTCTTCAAATTGCCCACTTTATAAATCAGCTTACTAGCTGCCACATTATAACTCACTTGCTTTACAAAAATTGACTTGTTGGATGATGGCCAAGAGGAATAATGGGACTCAGTGCGTGGTCTAAAGGCTCCTTATGCAACTATCATTTTGAAACCAGTAAATCTCAGAGATGGCCAATACATGCTGCCTTGGAATATATCTGCATCTATCTCGATCTTGATCTCTATCTACTGTATGTCATAGGCTGTCATTAGAAGAATGAGAAGGAAGTAGGCGGGAAGGAAGGGTCTTTTGAAAAGCAAACGTGCCCCAAAACCAACCAGGAAGTGACATTCAACATAGGACTGCCTCTGAAAATGATAGCACTCTGACAGTGTCTCCCATGTCCTGATGTAACATTTTAATAAACTATGTTGGTAAGCATTTTGTGCTACTTGTCACCATCACCACCCCAGTGGCCAGTGATGAGGACTAGAGAAAAGCACAATGTTGTGACATAGACATGTCCACTAAGCATTACATGAGAAGTTGCCAGTTTTAGTATCATGTCTGTGTCCTCAGTCACTGTGCATTATACTCCTCAATGACAGAAAACCCGAGGGCATAACTGATCGATGTTCTGCAGAACCACTGATATTCCAGTATATAAAAAAGCCATTCTCTAGACTCCAAAGAGCTATGATTCTTCATTGCCCTGTGGCCAGGATGCACATTTTTCAGCCTCAGAAACTCTCCACCAGGTTGGTGATGGGATTTCCTTCTGATGTAGTTTGTCTCTATTGTTCTCTTGTTTTCTTTTAGGCTAATGCTGCTTTCTGGTTATAGTTTGGGGAGGGGTTCACATTCAGCATTTGAGATTTTCTCTAGCCTTACCAGCTATGACAGTGCAGCCCTTGGCTGGAAAGGGGGAAAAATGGATGCCATAACACAAAAAAGTTGCCCACTCACACAAACTGTTGATAGATTGGATGCAGCTTCTATCCTGCTATTTTGTATGCTTGTTGTAATGATTTATTACTTTGCTGATTTTAGTTCTTTTGGCATTTCTGGGGGAATAAGCCTCCTTGGAAAGGTTTTACATTAAATAATGAGATATAAATTGATCAACAGGATTCTTAATAAAGGGCTTTGGTGATGGAATAAAGCCTGCCTTTTTATTGTGGACCATTTCACTTCACATGGAATACAGAGGGCTGGCAGCAAATTGCACTACAAACTATTAATAAAGCCAGCAGGTACAGACTGTGGCTATTAACCTCGCCCTTCTGACACCCTTCCTGCTGCATTGACACTGATCATGTCGGAACAAGCTGAATTGTGAATATGGCCTTGTCTACTGGCAGAGAAAGCTGGAAGGAATTTCAAGGAACCTTGTTTCCCTCATCCATTATTTAGCTCCATTTAACTCTCTTTTTAGTAGGCATGTTTAAGTTTATGTTTCTAAGAGAAAATTCTAGGAAAACTACTGCTAAGGCAAGAGATAAAGCAGACAGGAAAGATACTGCAAAATAAAAATACACGAAGAGCACCTTAAATCAAGAATGCAAAAGGTCCGAGTGAAAAAGATTTAACTCCTTTCCTAACAATGGAGAAAATAGGGGCTAAGCATAATTGCTGGGATTTTGTTTGGAGAGATAAAAGAGAAGGTCCTGTCCTATATGTCCAAGAAATAACCCTCTGAAACTAGGAGAATCTTTAAGAGGACTTCTCCCTTTGATTGTAATGCCCAGGCAGGTTCTTGCCTTGATGAATAGATAATCAGACCTTAACTATTCAGGCTGTCCTGACATGACAAGCATCCCTGAAGTGGGCAGAGAACCAAAGAGTTCAAGGCTTTAGAGATTAAAACAAGAATTGAATTGCACTTGGAAAACTACTGGCAAACTATCAGTGCCAGCATAATGCAACCCAATATTGTGCACCAATTAGCAAGCAAGCAGTTGCATTTTGCAATAATTGAAGCTTTCAGTCATTCTAAGGATAGCCCCATGTAAAGCATCTTGATGTAGTTGCCCTCATGGTATAGTTATTCATTTTCACATCTAACTGGCTCAGGCATGGCTGCAGCTGGCACAGTAATGCACCTATCTTTCTTGCCATTGCTGACACCAGGGAACACAGAGATATCTGATGGTAAAAGAGCATTTAGAGTGTGGACCTGTTATCTCAGAGGGGTACAAGCCCATCCATAATAGAGCTGAACCCAAATCTCCATATTTCCAACAGTGCTCCCTTTTTCTGGATTTATTTTTACTTGCTCAGCCAACTAAATTGGAATTGGATGTCGTAAAAAATCAGTCTAGTTGGGTGTCATCAGCATGTTCACCTCATTCCATTGCTTTTTGTATAGATAGCAATTAGTGGGATGGAATAGGCTAAAAATCATGGTGCTAAATATAATCCTGTATTGCTCTGTCCCCAGCCCAGTAGGGCTGGATCACAGGTTCTTTTGGATTCAGAAGCAATGTCCACACAGTATGAGTATTTAAGGCTTTACTCCAAGGCAGTGTAAGAAAGTTGCACAATAAATAACATGAAAGAGCAAAGACTATCCAAGAATACAGTACTGAAGAACACAATAAGAGAAAGGAAGGAAGGAAGGAAGGAAGGAAGGAAGGAAGGAAGGAAGGAAGGAAGGAAGGAAGGAAGGAAGGAAGGAAGGAAGGAAGGCAGGCAGGCAGGCAGGCAGGCAGGCAGGCAGGCAGGCAGGCAGGCGGGCTTACGACCCTTCTCCCAGTCAGGAAGCCCCAGAGATGAAGGTAGGCAGACCCCTCCAAAGTCAGCAAATATGCAATAACCTCCCAGTTAGGACTGCATCGAAGTTTCATCCTATGGGAGTTTTGTACTAGCTTATGAAAGGCTCTGATCCACCATTGCCCACACCTCTTTTCAATGGTTTCATTTCCCTGGATTTTGCCAAGAACAAGTTCATCTTATCTTGTACTTGGAATGCTTAGTCTATTTCTACCAAAAATGAGACCATCAAAGTTAAGTATTTGTTTATATCAGAGGGTGATGAAACCATTTCAAAACTAAGGGATATTTGATTCTCAAGGTTTGAAATTAAGATGAGAAAGATCATCCTACTCTACCTAAGTATCCTACCAAGAACAGGGCAACCCCCCCTCCCCCCCATAAGCCAAATATACCCTTTAGCAACTAAAACAACTGCTTGTTTAATTCTGTATTACATACTCAACCATTCCAGGGGAAGATAAAGTTCTATGTTCCTAAGGGAAAGAGGTATACACCACTATCCAATTCCTCCTTGCCAATCTTCTGGTAAAACTACCAGCACTACAGTTCCCCAAGCACCAGCTTCTGGACTCAACATAATAAGAAGGAACAGAAATACTCCAAAACAGTGCCAAACTGCTAGGAAGTCCAGGAGAATGATGTGATTGATGGTATCAAAAATCTTTAAGAGGCTAATGAAAACCAGAGAGATTGGGCTCCCACCATCCAATTCCCACTGTACAATTTGTACTGTGCCCCAAGAAGGCTAAAGCATTCTCAGATTAGAAAGCCTAATTCTAATAGATAATCTTAGTAAGTATATAATCTGTATCTTTTAGATATAACTGGAGTTGTGATATCATCACTTACTCTATCATCTTAGTCCAAAATTATATACTTGAGGCTAGCTTATAATGCTCCATTTCGTCTGGTCTGTGGTGTTTACTGTAGGTTAATTCAAATAATATACACATACTATTGGATTTTTGCTCCTTACCATCTTGGACCAATTCATGCATGCTTGTTTATGACTTGATACCCTTGTTCTGATTGCAGTCTTACTGTGCTGAATGCTGTCAAAGACAGAAAGGTACTCAATTTGTAAATTCTACTGGCTGATCATCTACTGAAAACAGAAGACAGAAAAGATGGAATCATTCCACAATGCTTAAGTAACATTCATCTAGAATTGCACCAACTTTTTGGCAGGCAGAGAGAGCCGAATCCTTAACTGGTGCCTAAGGAAGAGAATATCAATATTGCTTCAATATTCAATACTGATTTCATAACTGTATGTAAAATAAATAAGAACATAAGAAAAGTTATGCTGGATCAGATTAATGGCCCATCTCAACCAGATTTCAATCTTCACACTTCTATAGGAAGTAGAACCCTTTTTCATGTTCCCAGCAATTGATAAAGCTCTTTATTCTCTACCTTTCAACAGATTATAGATCCCTGTTCTATTCACAAGCAAAAAGAATATATAGAATATATACATCCAGGGAATGAGGTCATATTTAGCTTTCATGAAGAAAAACCTCAGGTTGGATTTCCTAATTATATGTATATAACAGAATGAAAACCAGCTGGAGGCCTGTGTTTTACCCTCCAAAGTGATTTCCTTCCCTGGGGTACACAGTCTGAGGCTTCAGGGCCACATACAACACCCAGAATTCTAGAATAGAAGAATGGAACAGAACAGAACAGAACAGCTACTGAATTACAATTCTTAACTTGACAGAATGAGGAAATTATTAAATTCATGCAAAGAAATCCTATTAACTGTACTTAATTAAGTTAAAGGAAAGCAAATGTAGTGTTTGCCTTTTCCCAATTAATATCTGCAGTTCAGCCCCAGCCTGTGATCAGCCATGTCCCATGGCCTCCCTCAAGGCACACAGTTATGTTCTAATCCATTTGTTGTCTTGGCAGTGACATTCCATTCAACAACCGTTCCCCAAATATTTGTGATATTATTGAATAGATGCATGTACCAGTCTTATCATTTTGTCTGAACTGATTTTCAGTACGAATGAGAAAATGGATGGTCTTCTCTGAACTAACAAAGATCTGTTCATTTATATGCTCCCTGCCATTGGACAATGAGAAAGAGAGAGAATGAGAAATGTATAACAGCCCCAATACAACCACCTATTTCATTTGCCTTGCCTTGTTCCTTCAGTTACAAATAGGTCAATATTGGATAGGGAATTGCAGGGCTCTTTACCATCCTAATGTTTCTGGAAGTAAATGGAAGTGAAGAAATTGCTTCTTCCTTTTTGTACCAAATGCAGATTTATGAGGGACATGAAGAAAATGTCACATATGAAAATGTTTCAGAACTGTGGCTTCTGAAAATAACTGCTTCTCATTAGCAGCATCACTTGGAAGGTTAAGAAAAGGGCCACCAAAAACATGTAACTTTCACAGTCATATTTCTGTTCAAAATATTGTGTCCCCTGTGAAAACACAAATAGAGCTGAACAACCTGCAAACTCTATGCGATGGAGTAGCTCAGTGAACCTAACAGTTAGTTTAAACACCATTGTAAGCCTTCCTGGACATGTGGTATTCCTTTCTACTGAATTGGAACAATTACCTCAGACATTATTCAGTATATCCATCTATCCCAAGAGGAAGCCCAAAAGGATCTATGGGACTTTCTGCACCCATGACCAGTTGTATCTTGTTTCCAAACATTCCAGAAATGTCATCTTGTTCCTCTTCTGGTTTACAAGCAGCTATGGCTCCTGGAACCCCCTCTGGAGCTACAATGGGATGGAGAGATGGCACTTCATGTGGTAGGTACTACGCAGTCTTTTGGGTACCATCATGGCACTCCATGGCATCCTGGTAGCTGTGGCAACTCTTTCTGCTCCTTCCTACAGCCCATCTCTGTCTTCCCAGCCTTAATGGAAGGGACACAGCTACGTAAGCATGTTCAGGCAGGGGAACCTGCTAATTTCCTCAGAGAAGAACCAAATGGTTGTGCAACTGTGATTTCTTTCTTTTTGTATTTATTTATTTATTTGTTGGCAGTTTACAATAGTACCTGACACTATATATAAAAACAATTATTAAAAGAT